ATCCATGACACACTGCATCCATGACACACTGCATCCATGACACACTGCATCCATGACACACTGCATCCATGACACACTGCATCCATGACACACTACATCCGTGACACACTGCATCCACTGTCTCTTATACACATCTAGATGTGTATAAGAGACAGATCATGGATGCAGTGTTTCATTCATGCAAAGTTCCATGTGTAAGTAGTTTGCAGGACTACAAAGGCGTGTATTGTGCAAGCTTACATCATTGTACCGCGTAGTACATCACCTGTCTCTTATACACATCTAGATGTGTATAAGAGACAGGCCCGGACGGGTAGTAGGGCAGCTCCCAGCCCCAGGGCAGGTACCCAGTGCAACCCTGCCATATTATCTCAAGTATTGGGTGCATCTTCTTCTATTTTGCTATTATCTGCATCTAATAATTCAAGAAAAAAAGAACAATCGAGTATTTGCCAATTTGGATTCAATACCACAAAAGGCATTTGAAGTGCAATTTGACAATTTGGTGGTTAATGACGTGACAACAAGTATTAAATGCTACGGGTAAAACGAGAGAGAAGAGTTTCAAATTGCAACAGACCATCATGATATGTACGTACCTGCTTTGCAACAGACCATCTTGTTGTATGTATATGTACCTGCTTTGCAGCAGACAATCTTGGTATATAACAGCAGCAGCAGGTACTTTGTTGTCCGTTTGCTTTCTTGTCTTCTTAAGCTTCTCACAAATAAGTTCTTCATTAGACCTGGAAATCAAATAAAAGAATTGAAACTGCTTTAAGACAATCATCAACAACTGAAAGAAAGACTTTTTGTCCATAACTTGAATTTTATTTCACTGTCAATACCTCACAATTTTAATAAAAAATGTAAATAATTAAATATAATTGAAAATTTTTATATAATTTAATTTAAATTTGAATATAACTCATAACTCAAAAGAAAATATTTATTTGCATGATTTCACTGCTACAAGAGCATATTTTACATTCAAGTAAATTATAAATAATTTAATCTAGGGCTGCATTTCTACTCACCACGGAATTATAAAGTCAGAGAGCTTGGAACTGTCATTCTTCAAACTTTTATAATGACAAACTTGTATGAATAGTTATATATAAAATTTTGTGCAGGTTACATGCTTTACCAGTCAACAAGCCAATGGATGGCTTTGATGAAGTGCATATTGGCCAGCTGTGCATCATGACTTTCTTTTGATGTTCAATCCAAACTGTCACCATTTATATGATTGCAAGCTCCTGTTACTCTTTAGTTCACTATAAAAATTGCAATATTGTACGAAAAATTGCAACAAAATGGAGCCTCCATGGTAATGAACAGCGAATTTGTTAGAAATGAACATTGCTACAGTTATCATGAAATTAGTTACAAGATTGTATGTATATTGGGTTCCACTTTTGCTTGTAGATTATCTTGAAGCCGGTAATTTGATTGCAACTTATGTGGTGTTGACAACCAATAATAATTCTTCATTTCTGCACTTCACTTGATGAATCATTTTGAAATATAATCCTAAATAAAATAATCTGAAAAACTAAGAATTTTCAAACAATCAGAGAAATAAAGGGGCAACTAGAAAATTGGGCAGTAGGCAACTTTATAATGATTCAATGCGTTTTGTGTGCCGGAAAATTTTCACCCATAGCCTCGATTTTATTCTTACCCACATTACTGCAATTATTCCAATGCATAGTGGCAAACAAGATATTTTTGAAACCAGTTCATCCTGAAAGTTAATTACCTTACTGCTTTGAAATTTTTACAGTATCTTTATACATATAATTTTAGTATCTATCAAGCAGTCAAAAATTATCTGGTAATTGGTATCAAAGTAAAAAATGAAGAGGTTATAAAATTAGAAAGTCTCTGCTTTGCCCTGGATAATGCCCAATCATACCATGTAACAGTTTCAATTTAAACAATATGGAGGTTGAATTTAAAAGTACTAAAGAAAATCTTTTATCAATTTATGCACTAGGATTGAAGCATTTATAAACTATTAGTAGGCAGAAAATCCTTCTAAGCTCTTCTTCACTCAATCCAATTACTAATATATGCCCAAGCCCCAACTTGACAGTGACACTGGTTGATGTTTGCCAACATAGTCATTCCAGTTTCTAACACTTCAGAGTTTTGAAAAATTTATTCATATCCAAACCTGGAACATGCATTGAAAATATAAAAATAGATCTCTTCTATGCACTCAATTGCATTTTTCTATTGGTAGTGACAGACACACTGACACTAGTCCCTGTCAATACTGCAATTGTCTAACGTAGTCACTTAGCCAGACACTGACGTTTGGTCAACTCAACAGTCTCAACTGTGATGGAAAATGGCAGAGGGAACGCAGCCGTGCAACACGAAATTTGTGCACCAATCAGCCATGAAAGGAACTCCCAGCATATTTCCGGATGACCACCAATCACCCGCGGATTAAGCCATCCGTCAGTAACCAGCCCATGACATCATCTTTTTTTAACATTAGGAGCTTTACGCCACCATATTCTGAAGCGAATAGCCCAGAAAGTAATAGTATAGTATAGTATCTTCGGCATTAAAGAATAGGCCTGGATAGGCCTGTCGCAGATTCTTGTGCTTTTCTTGACTAGACTGGCCTTTTGATCAGATCTTTTCAACGGACGGTAGATTTAAAATCGATTCTAGATATCAGTTGTTCCGTAGGGTACGAGGCATTTTAAGACCAAATATATGCTCTTGCATGGCCTTGTCTAGTCTGTTCTTGAACGCGTTCATACTCGGAGCGTCAACAATATCTTCAGGGAGGCTGTTCCACATGTCAGTGACTCGAAGCGAGAAGAAATGTTGTCGC